CCTTTGTTTATTTCCTCCCCCTTTGTACCTGACAAGGACTGCTATGTGACATTCAGTGTGTGTGTGTGTCTGTGTACTGACGGCTGATAGGATCCTGGAAGTCACATGACCATAACATCACACACACCCTGTACTTAATGGAACACTGAAACATGTGTTGACTGTTGCTTTACGTGTCTGTGAATACGTCTGAGCGTGTGACGACGTGTGTGTGTGTGTGTGTGTGTGTGTGTGTGTGTGTGTGAGTGACGTCTGACACATGTGATCCCTTTTCCGTGTTAATGTCTGCAGGATGCTGCTCTCAGAGGATCAACCAGGATCCAACCAGCAGCAGCCTGAGCTTATGTAACGCTGAACCTGACACATCCCCGAGACACAGCACCGGTAACACCACACCCCCTCACACTAACACACAAACGCACAAACACACAAACACTCAATCACTCCTCTAAATCATAAAGACGGTTCATTTCACGTCTTTAGCAGGGTCGTTCAGCGGTGGGTGACATTCATGTGTTATCCAGAGGGAGCAGACGCTTTCTGACTGCACTCAGCTGTTATGGAAATTGAGTCTGTGTTACATAAGAGCACATAAACCAGACACCTACACCTTTGGATGTATACATGGTGGATTCTGGTTTCAAGGATGCCCTGTAGCACCATATGCATCATGATTATTTGAAGCGTACTCACCTTGTAACAGCACAAAGTATCTGTATCTATCTCTCTATCTATCTGTATTTGTCTGCTGTGTCACCCGGATTCAGGTGGACAACACCTTCTGAAGGACACAAACAGAACACACCAATGACATTACAGATCAGTGGAACAATAACTTGAAACTCATAAAGATCTCCTGTGAAGATATGACATTCCTTTACAAAAGGTCTAATCAATTATCTAAATTGTACCACTTATTCCATGTTTACTAACAGTCATTGAAGGTGATTTATATACACATGACAAACTACAAAAATATATAAAATTTCCCTTTTTAAAAGATTTTTGTGGGGGCTTTTTATTCCCTTTATTTAGAGATAGGACAGTGGATAGAGTCAGAAATCGGTAGGGACTGACATGCAGGAAAGGAGCCACAGGTCGGATCTGAACCCCATCATCACCTATGGGCCTCCATACACATGTGTGGTGGTGACTGTGTCTGCAGAGACTCTGTCCTCTTCCTTGATTTTTTATGTTTTGGTTTGTTATGGTTGACTCTGGACGTTTCTGGGGTGGGGAGCTGGTGTGTTCTCTCCAGCCAATGACAGGTCGCGGTTGAGTTTAGGAGTAGATACAATTCATTGATTGGCGAATAGGATGGAAGTAGCGCCAAGCGGATAAAGCTTACTCTACAAGAAGGGTGACCCTTTTGATGGCTTTCACCCTCGGGCATGTAGTTGGTCTGCATTCTGTTGGACTGGCAGGTGCCAAACACCGGCGGTTAGCTTGTGCTAGCATGCGGTGATTGTTGACGCCACGTCCTGCGGTGTGTGTGCGTGCTTCTGGTGGCGATGAGCCCAGGAGGAGGGGCCAAGTTTGAACGTTGTGTTTACAAGCTGCAACAAAAATTGCTAATGAATCCACCTTCAAAATTTTTTGAGTCTTTATAAAACCTTAGTGTTATACTGTTACCTTTGGGGTTTATTTCAGAGTACTTGTGAAGCTATTTCTCTCTACCTCTTAATGTTTTTGCTGTAAAGTTTGTTAGTCACCCCCCCCCCCCACTTTTGGTTATTCATATCTGGCCAATCCAAGCTCTCGACAATAGTTCTTCTCCATACATGTTAAAATGTATAATATAATCTATAAACCTCCAAAGAGAGCTAGCTTGACTCGAAACCCTGTAAGGATTAGTGCTGCTAAGGCTTTTTCCCACACCGATAGTTGGTTATTACCAGTGACCATATTCCTGGAATTTACTGAGCAGCACAGTTAATCCTCATAAAAAGAAGATTGAGGGGGGGAATGCAAGGAGAGACGGAGGTTGAAGGAAAAAGGGGGGTGGGGAGGTTGGGCAGTTGAAGAGTCAAAGAGGGAAGAGGAGGAAATTAAAGAAGGGAAAAAAGAAAAGAGAGTAAAAGAGCAGGAGTGGAACAGCAGAAAGAGCAGGAGTACAGGTTTATTTGTGTGCACAGCACAGGACGCCTTCATTCAATCAAACTCAACTACAACGAGCAGGTTGGTTTGGATCATTTACCTGCATGGTGACGAGTTTCACATCATTGTGATTATATTGCAGGATTATCTCCAGCCTCTGTGGTTTTAACAGCTTTATTTTTGGCCACCAGAGACAATGACCTAGCTTTGCGAGGCCATTTTTCAGTGACACGACCCATTGTTCTTTTGTGGGGATTAATTTAATAGCTGCACCAGTAATGTTAGTCAGTTATGAAGCTGGTTTGTTAAGTGTGACACACCCCCAGTGAAACACCTGGTGTTCTGTTTCTTTTGGTCCATGCTGCTAATTGAAAGTCTCAGTTCAAACACCGACAACACTGTGGACTCCTGGGAAATATAGCATCTGCGCCAACCTGTGACTAACGCCATGCATACTGGGGATCTGATTTGTATGCTCAATTATATAATAGACACTACAAATACGCCAGGATAGAGAGCGGCAGAAGGTTGAATCTAGATGTGTTAAATGTGTACTGCTGACAGCACAGGGAGGTAAGGAGAGGAGAGGTTATACAGCAGGTTATCATGCAGAGGTCAGATCTCCAACGTGTTGTGTAACCAGATTTACAACAAAACCCTGTGCTGGAATGTATCCTGCATCCTGATCTGGTGATGCTGCGCTCTCTCTCTCTTTCTGTTTGTATGTGTCCTTCAGCCTCACATGCACACACCTACACACACACAAACACAAACATCAATAAAACAGTCACACCTGCCACCTCAGCCACACAAACATCGCTAGCTGACCTCTGTTGCGCAACATATTTCTGTCGTGGGGTTATTACTTTTTTATCTATCTTCATGGAGAGCTTAAAGTCACAGACGGTCATATTAGTCATATTAGTTCACCGTATGTTTACTTTAGATTATTGTGCGTTAGAAGCATAGTATATACACAAATTCATATTTTTAGTTTTTTTCCCCCAGCACAGATTTAGCTTTATTAAACTTGCGTTATCAAGTGCATCTCCATGGACTTGAGTATCCCGGTTTAGAGCCTTTTTCTGGTTTTCATCATATTTAGGATGTTGCGTTCACCTTCACAAAGAGAAACCTGGTAAATAATGTCCCAGTAAACATGATACATACTGGTATCCTGGTTTCTGATTACTGCATCTTATCGCACATGCGCCTGTGATGTTGTGTTGTTGTTTTTTTTACAACACAAAGCGGTTAATGACCATCAGATCTAAACTCTTAAACCAGTGGTTCCATCCTTTTCTTCTTGAAGCGCCCGCCCACTTGTATTAAAGAAAAAGAGCTGGAAGTCAGGGGGAGAAAGAGAGCGAGAGAATGGGGAATGAGCCTCAGGTTGGACTCGAACCCAGGCCGCCCGAACCGAGGACCACAACCTTAAATGGTCTGCAAGAACCAACCACCATTCCACCAGCCTCTGGAATATAGTAGTTTTACATGTTTTTTATCTGCAGACCTTTTGATACATTATTATTTTATTAATATATGCAAATGTGATTTCAACAACGTCAGAGCAGAGAGCTTTATAAGCCGCCCTGGGATGTTTGGCGCCACCCTAGGGAGGCCTGGACCCAAGGCTGGGAACCAATATCTTGAGATTTATGTCAAAGGATGTGAGGAGCTCATATTTCTTTAGATGGATTTTTAGCAGCTGAATCTACCTCCCCAGTTTGTTTGTTGGTTTTTCCAGCTCTCTTGGTCCTCCGTGTTTTTGTCCAGTTTGATTTTGGAGCCAAGGTTACAAATCGGGAAAGAAATGGAAAAGTTACCTAACTCCCCTGCCTCTGGTTTGATCGCCTGTGAACATTACAAGCTGGTGTTACATGTCAGTAGTAGATGCTAGCTGGACAGGAACAGGAGGATCTATTTTATTACTACAGGCCTAATAGCATCTGATTATTATGCCAGGAATACAGCTTTGGTTGTTACATCCTGAGGTGCCAGCTGGGACAGAGACAGGTTATGTAAGCCTTGGTGTGACCAAAAGGGATTTTCATTAATTCATAATGGAATTTAATACTTATGCTCCACTACCAAAAGTGCTTTTGTACTTTGACTGGACTTGAAAATTCAATTTTTATCAACATTTTTTTTTTTTTGTGTGACGTTTTTTTTTAAGACAGTGGAGTCAGAAATCGGGGAGAGAGAGAGAGTGGGGAATGACATGCAGGAAAGGAGCCACAGGTAGGATTCAAATCCCGGCCACCGGCTTCAAGGAACACAGTCTCGATACACGGGGTGAGCAAACCAACCGCTAACCCACCAGCACCCCACACCATCTTTAAAGGTCACATATTGTACTCTTATTCAACAAGTTTGAATACCTGAGCTCCCCAAGAAATGTGTGAAGTTTCTTGTTCTAAATCCACTCTGATCCTGTACTTGATCATGTCTATAAACCCTCTATTTCAGCCCTGCTCAGAACAGGTTGTTTCTGTGTCTGTACCTTTAAATATGTAAATGAGCTGTGTCTGACCACGCTCCCTCTCTGGAAGGGCTTGGGTAGCTTGGGCTTCCTTACACCATGCTCTATTGTTTACAGTGAGAACGCAGACTCAGAGGGCAGAACAAACACCTAGCTGTGGGAGTGTCACCCACCTGGGGGAGGGGCTACTGCCCTTTGTGATGTCATGAAGGGAAAATCCCCTAACGGCCTGTTTGAGCACACAATTTCTGGAAAGTGGAGCAGGCAAGAGACTCAAAGGAGTCATAGGAGGGTTTTTATACAGGCTAATGACACTTATTAGTGTGATAAAAACATGGTTAAGTGTATTTTTTTTACAATATGTGATCTTTAATCAAGTCTGGGCAACATTTCTAAACAAAAGCTGCTCTAAAAGAAGTACAAAAATGCAATCTTTTTTATTTCACATTTATTGTTCATCATAATGAAACATCATCACTGATACAAAAAAAACAACATCATCCCCTTCGTGTGGGAAAATTACATTTCTGAGCGTTCAGTCTGATCCATAGGAAGCAGTGACACTGAACAACAGTAACATTGAGCGAGAGTTTCTCCACGGCTGACGCTCCATAGAAAAATAAGGCAGGTGTTTCTGCGCAGTTCCTTTTTTAAAAACACTGTTAAAAATCAGCTGAGGGACATTCTACTTTTACAATATCAACAAGATGACTCCTCATCTCAACCAGCACAATGTACAACAGTAATGTATGGATTGGCTCAAACATGCAAAAAAAAAGTAGAGATACTTGAAAGTGAACCAGAAGTGAGAAGGAAAATCCATCCAGACTGAATACCTGAGAAACCAAAAGGTAAAAGAAGTGTGGGTTGGGGAGCGGTAGGAGGCTACAGCCAAACATTTGTGAAGATATTTTCAAGAGAGTAAGGTTGTAAAAAAACGTTTCAAACCTTTGATACTTTCCTATACCACGTGTTTTAAAATGATACCATCTCTGTTATTTGAATGTTCAACAGTATCAGAGCTTTACAAAACTCTACATTTTCAAGTGTATTTTTTTTATCCTAAAGGGCCGCGAGAGAAGGAGAGAGAGAGCGGCGAGGGTTTGTTCAAATTCACAGGTCGATTCAGCTGGATGAGAAGTGACAACACTGTCTCCTTTTTCACAGTTTAGACAGTGTGTTTGAGTTTTACTTGCAATTTTTGGTAATAAAATAACAACAAGGTCCCCAACATTGGGCAGCTAGGGCTTCTATTTTTGTTGCCGTGGTATTGACAACAGGTTTTTTTTTTCACCTAGTGTCGTATCGAAGTTTAAAATGCTGGTATCGTGACAACCCTACATCAGAGTAAGCAAGATCTTAATTATTCAACATTCATAGCGAGTACTGTCGAGACCCTTCGTCCATGAAGCTTCATCACGCCGTGGAAAGCTTCAGTTCAAGTAATGTCGTGTAAGTATAACTTCACCAAAGCTGGGTTTCAAAGGTTCGCTTTCACAGCAGTGATTTACATTATGAGCCACAGAAAGGTGTGAACTACAACGGTATACGATTGTCCCAGTACAGCAGCAGAGCTGGTGAAGACAGGCGGTTAGTGAGCATTAGTGATACTCTACGCTACAAGTAGCAGAGGAGCCGCAAGCCCCTGAAAACTAATTCTTAAGAAGGTTTCCCCGGTAACCCTCCTGTAGTGTGGTTATAACATTATGTAGATGATCTTGTCTGGCTTTTAAAAAAAATATGTAATCGAACTGTTTTCAGGAAACATTTAACGTTCATACAGTTTACTCCTAGGACTAAAAGCAGTCGAGTGTCGGTCACTAAGAACCACTAAGCTAAAGAAACTTTTTGCCTCGTTTCAGAGACTTTTCAGAAACCCTGCTATGAAGTATGCCGTTGGTTAATTCATCCTAATATGACAAGATAACATGTGTAAAAGATGATATATAGAGATCAAATTTTCTACAAATATACAAGCATCAAATAAAGAAAATAAACTACTGTCATACAGCAAGAGGAAAAAACAACAACCTAATACACATTTTATATATTTATATATATACTAAAACAAACGCTGGATTGCAGAAGACTTATAAAGCAGAATCCCCCAAAACAACCCACTCACAATGAGTGTCAGTGTACCATAAAATAAAGACTATTTACAGAGCATATACAAATGTCCAAAAAGACCATGTTTGTAATCCAAAAACATGCACATATTACACTATTTCATTTGAAATATCTATTTGTATCCGCAAAGGATCAGTTAATGTTGTCCACTTTGGCTGGATGTGTCCGTGACACACAACGGCATCGGAGCAGAGATGAGGTTTTCATGTTGATTTTACCAAAGGCACCGATGTAAGAGGCCAATTATTATTATATTTAAGATTCATTTTTGGGCTTTTATTTAGAGACATGATGGTGGATAAGTTTGATCCGGAGCCACCTGTTTTTGATGACTCTGTACATGGGGCGCCCGCACTAACCACTAAGCCACCGGCGCCCCTAAGAGGCCAATTATAAAGGAAGAGTTTTATGCTTCAGCTACACAAACCAAATGTTACAAATAAGTAAAACTAATCAAAGGGTTAGGTCATCTACAATCCATTTTCAGATTTTACTAAGAATTTAGATCATAAGAAACATGTTTGAGCTCGGTTCACAACTTGCACTTTGAAAACAGGTCATATCCTCGGTGAGTTATCATAGTTACTGCATCGATAAGTCCTCTGTTGGGACTTTACGTCTTAACAGGTGTTGCACTCTTTCCTCTGAATCACAAAAAGTTTTAGGAAAACTTTCATATTTGTTTGGGGGAGGAGGGGGGGCTCTTTTTACAGGTTGGTGAGATTTAAATGAGAAGATTGACACACACCACTGTGTTGGCTAAAGGCAGAGCTAGCTAATGTCTAGAAACTAAGCTAGCTTTGGCATATTGCCTGAAAGAAGGGGGAAACAGCTAGCCTACTTTGGTACTAAGCCAAAGCCATCAATTAACCATCTAAGGAGTTGAAATAGTTTATCTGAATAGTTAACTCAATTTCAACTGTAAAATAATAAAAACTCAAATGTAAAACGTTTTTGTTTACAGGAATTAGTGCACTGCATACACTTCTACTTTCTATGCCTAGCCAACTGCTAGCTGTAATGTTAGCTTAATATTTGTCATACAAACATGGGAGTGATATCAATCTACTCATGTTACTCTTTACTAATATCTAATTGATTCTTTTGCTAAAAGTGTATAATCATTACTGTTAAATTCCTTTTTGGAGAGAGGGGGTGGGGGAATTAATCCTTGGGTGAAAATAGCATGGCACAACGTTGAACACGTTTTTCTGCAATGAGGCATTTTGAACTGATTCTCATTTGTTGTTTTACTCAAGTGTTTGACTCAAACTCATATATTTGCCAATGACTTGGAAAAATAACCACCTTTTTATTTGTCCCTATCGCAGTCTAAACGTGTCTTGAGGCTGTTGGGAGATTGTACTTCATACAACCTGACGGGTCTGGTTTGAGGGCGAGTAAGATATTATGTACAACAACAACCTAATTCTTCAATATGTACATTAATACCGTTAATGTTTACATCCCTCTGTAACAGAAATACTGGAAGCATCTCCTTGCTTCTTGTACAGCGCCGGAAAAAAATACAGACGGCGAGGAAGCTGTGGCTCTCTATCCACCAGATCAAGCTGAAATTGTATGTGCATGTAGACTTCGGCAAAGCTTCTGATTGTTAGTGTGCAGCAGAGCAGCAAAATAAACCAAACGTTCCTGTATAAAATGTCCACTTGTTTTTCAGTGTTGCTGGTTGACGGTTGTTTTGAGATGTTTTTTTACGGATAGTTGCTTGGAAAACACCGGTGTAGGGATGTTTTACCGTCTACGTTTGTGTTTGTAACTGTGTGTTCACTCTACACACAAAGTGTAACGTGATAAAAGAAGTGCTGCTTGTTTCATAGAGGATGACACACTCCGACCTCAAAATGTCTTCTTCAAGTGCGCAGAGGACCGAGGAACCTCGCATCGTCTTTCCAGCCTTGCGGGGTGCAGCAGCAGCTCACAGATCTGCTTCAGGTGACGGCTGCATAGTTTGTGTTTTGTTCTGTCTCTTCATTTACTGGGAAAGATCATGATGGTGGCGGTGATTTCAGGATGTCTCTCTGAGGCACTTAAAACCAGAGTTTGTTTCTACCCATCTCCGGGTTTTGAATCTCTCGTTTCTGTCGTGTCGCATCCAAAACTTTACAGGAAAAAAAAAGAAAAACGAAATACAACTGGGCAAAAAAAAGTCTCCCGCTCTTTGGGGGGAAAAACTGAACCCAGTGCAGCAAAACATGGTTCCTGTATATGTTCAGCTTTTACGCTCAACGTTGTGATTTGAGGAAGTGAACCGCTAAAGGGCAGTGTTCCCTGGTATTTGAGAAAAAAACAGAAGAGACATAGCAGGTCGGTGGCTGAAGAGGGTTTTGCTGCACTCTGAAATTTTGACGAGGGAAGAAAGAGGGTTTAGTGTCCCCCGCTGGAGCCGGGGGGGTTGTGGATCCAGTCGAGGACGATGAGTGACAAGCTGCCAATCATGAAGACGATTCCCACGACTAGGAAAATGAACGCCTGTAGAGAGAGAGAGGCAGAGAAGGGATTAAATGTTGTCCGATGTGTTGCCATGCACCGTGAGGGGGCTGTGGAAATTTGTAACGAGTCACGTTTTGAATAATGTTATCCTCTCCTTGGGGTAAAGAGTGAGAAAAATGATACAGTGAGAAAGTCTCTTTTTGTGCACTTACCCCAATCTTCTGCGGGGAGCGGAACGGCACAGATTTCACCAGGCGGATGTAAAAGGCAGCCGGTAGGATAAAGATGAGCATAGTGGCTGCAGAGGAACCTGTGATCGGAAACCAAAGGATTGTTTTCAGACATTTATGACTTTAAATATTTCAAATTATGAGAAAAAGTTAGGTAACTCCTTTTCAGAAAATTAGGACTGGCCCTTTAAATTTGTTGTCAGTTCAATCTTTGTAGGAAAAGCTGTAGGATACCCAGCATTGCATTTCTAATTGAAAGAGCAAAAATTGTAAATGATTCCAAATAAATGTATTTGAACTTTGTGCTGGTTTCATATACAAACAGGAAGCAGTAACGACTGTCAGGTTTTTCAATTCAATATTTAAACTGAAGTGTAAGATTTGTGCTTTTGATCACATAGAAGGAGCTGTTCCATCTCGTCTCAACGTCGCCATCGAGACGATTTTTGGGCACTGGGCAGTTCAGTCTGAACGTCTTCAAAGCGAGACTGTGCAAGTTGACAAGGTTTAAAGTGCTGCAAGATCTTTCTAAATTGGTGATGTGAATCGCCGTCGTCAATATCTGACCCAATACCGATATTAGATTGGATCTGTCCCATCTCTAGTCTCATTTTAAAAAAAACTCATAAGATAGGAATGTCCTCTTCCTCATAATCATACCGTGTCTTTCAAGGCTTTCTCACCTCTCCTGTGCGGGTTTTTTGTTTAGTTTTTTAGCTCCTTAGCATCGTTCCTTTACACCACATTTTACAATTATGCGTATACCGCACCTGGACACTAACTTGACGGAGCTTCACATCCCCAAATTAATCTGATGGTTTTTTTTACTTTAAGCTGTATGCCATCAAAGAAGTCATTTCCAACTGCTTTGACTCCTATAAGGTAAAAGTGTGTATAAGCCAATGATGTGTGATATACTGGCATTACTCTGTTGCTTCATCCTCCATCTTGGATTTCCGCAAATGTTTTCCATCATGTTTTTGCCTCCTGAGACCCTAACCCTAACCCCAGAGGGAAATCATGCTAAGAAACTCGGAAAGATTTCAGGGGCAGGCTGGCCTTAACATTTTTTCAAGTTTTCAAGAGTGCATGTGTGAAAGCAGCTAGAGAGACTCCCCTACATGTACGTGCTTTTCAGAGCGTCGGCATAAGGAACATGAGAGTCGAGATCCAGTGGTCACAGAGGGCTCACGCGACTGCACGGCTGACACGACCCGACACTTTAAGCTTCTGTACTTCCCACGTCTTTCCTCAATAAAAATGACCTCTGAACCAAAGGTGCTAATCAGGCCTTAACCCCCATCCTCCCCACCACCCCCGTTTTTTTTTATTAACTCCTGTGTGTCCACAGTCTCAAAATGATTCAAGAGGACTCACCGATGAAGCCGAAGATGTCTCTGATGGTGGGGACGAAGATGACCAGCATGTTGTTGAAGGCCAGGATGATGGCGGCGATCAGTATGTGCCGAGTCCAGCTGAACTCTCTCCCGCTGAACAGCAGCGTGTTGATTGAGGAGCGGATCTGGGGACAAACACAAAGTAAGGGAAATGAACTCATTTGGGATTTACCGGATATAAGAAAATAATTCTAACAAAGTTGTAATAAAGTTCACCGTAAAGTGAGTGAGAAAAGGAGGCATGTGTAACAACCACAACATCTCTTTTCCCCACTAACAACTCCTACATCTCCACACCAGTATCTCCCAAATATCAGGTAGAGGGCTGTTTTTATACCACAGTTTTAAACTTCCATATAATACTAGTGGAACTGGAGCTTTATCGATCTCTTATTCGATACCACGGCGACAGAAATAGAAGTCCCAGACACTTAATACTGGGAACATTTTGTTTATCACAAATCGAAGCACACTGTCTGAATTAAACACATATTTGAGCTACGTTTCAGTTTGTATTTGTACAATGTAAGGCGAGGTTAAGTTAAGGCACATTTCAGCACCAAGGCAATGATTCAAAGTGCTCTTGCATTTTTCAATGGATTTATTCCATTCCTGCACACCTGTCTCATGACATGCATGAAGTTTTCATTCATCTTTATCGTTAAAAACATGGATTAGCTTATCTCACACACACACACACACACACACACACATGTTCTCTTAACATGTGAAATATGAGTTTGGGACACATGTAAACATGAACATGCCCGTTTACTCTGGCCTGTACTAAATGTAATCATCTTTGTCTTGCGATAGAAAACAACAAAAAGTAAACAAAAAAAACTTGGGGTATCAAAAATGAATTCAAGTAAATGTTGACATCCTAAACATGGCATCTTCCTTACCACTCACACACTGATTGCAGACATTTAGCTTTGTTTAAGGTAGTTCTCCTCTCTAGCATGACACTGATGTTGTAAGTAGAGGAAACCAGTCGATTTCTCTGTAGTTAATAATAGCTTTTTTTGTATTTTATTGTGCATTGACTGGTGTACTCTCCAATACCAATGTGTGCATTTTTTCCAGCATCTATGTTACTAATTGTGATAATAACAATGTAACAATGCAACGTAAATAAGCTGTAATGAGGAGGTCATGAGGGGAGGTCTGTGTTTATAGCCTGTTACTTGTGGAATATAAAGATATATATATATAAAATATTGATATTATATTATATATTATATAATAATATTGATATTACAATCAGGTTATTCTATAATGAAACATGTCAAGATTTGTACTTTTCAACATACACACAGTGTGTCTGCATTAGGAAACAAATTATTAACATCAGTCTGCATGTCTGCCGGCTTCTTTCTGAGAATGATTCCCACACTTGGCTGCTGACTGAAGTGTGTCAAGTACTATGAAGCCTGTGTGTGTGTGAGAGGGAGAGAGATACGGAGGAGGTCCCAGCTAAGACGCCAGGAGCTGCTGAGCCACAGGCGAGGCTGTTCAAGCCTCTAGTAGGTAAAAGGTCGCGGCTGTCAGGTGAAACCTGAGGCACCGTCAGCTTGCTTGGCCACATGGAGCGAGGTTACTAGGGGGGGCGGAGCTTATGGAGTCCATTCAAAAGGGCTGGGGATTATCTCCTGCAGTGCAATGGAACCATGGGATTGCATCAGCCGGTAGTGAGAGGAGGGCGGGCTCGACAGCAGCGCGGGGGGTAGGTTGTGTCTTTACATGAAGCTGCAATTGTCTTCCTTCCTCTTTTAGTTACTAATACCTCATTATGACTGATCATGGCCTCTGGTCACAGTGACTGAACATCTAAACACCACATACACATCTAACAGACAGTTAAGTTGTGGAGTAAAATATATGTGCTGCAAAAATAGTTTCAGGGAAAGAAACGTCTTTTTTTTAATGGCACCTTTAGAAAGATGCCGACTGTGCAACCTTTACTTTTTTTTTTTGTCAGCAGAACGCCACAGGCCTTCTTTGTAATCTTTCAAGTCTGACTTAAGCAAAAGATTTATGTCCAGTTCGCATGGCTCAGTGGAAAAAAAAAAAAAATCACATTAACTGGATTTTCTGCACGGTCAAATTGAACCGTGTGACCTCCATCATGACTGTCAGGCGGCACTGGGATGACTCCTGCGCTTCACAGCCCACATGCCAAGAAAGTGTCCCACTCCAAGCCAACACTCCTTTCTAGTGGGAGATAATGACAATCATTGAAGTGCATCCATCCTTGAGTCTACAAGAATGCCCCCTTTTAACTCCCACTTCCCACCAGCTGTTGCATAATTAGTCCAACTTGGAAAAGTCGAGCGTGGACGCGGCATTTCTCTCCAAGGCTCCAAACTATTCAGCACCCGGCTGTTACCTGGTGTAGCCTTTGGAGTGCACTGTGTGATATTTGCACACACCTCCTACTACCTGTCACACACATGCATGCATACACACACAAACTGTATTTGGGTGGTGTAGTTTAAGGCAGCCAGATTAAACCGGCCACATCTGGGTTCAGCCAGGTTGAAAGAAACCAGGGACTGAGATGTTACTCTGCAAAGATGGTCACAACTAGCGGAAGATTAAAACAAACCATGTACACTTGAGCCTTTCTTTTTACTGCCAACTAAAGAAGTGAATTCTCTGTGAAAGTCGAGGTTTGTGCAAATATGAAAGACGAAGTATATTCAGAGCTAGAGACGCAGGAGTTCACACCATGTAACAACTGTTTCCATTTCTTTCAGAGTCATTTGAATGTCAGCAGCTGCTTGCTGAGTATGAAGTGAAACATGCAGCAGGGTAAAGTCCCCCCCCAATGCAGTAAAAATATCAACAGCAAAACCACAACAGTGTTTTTTCACTCTTGTGACCACGGACTGGATCCGAAACCCAAACAGGAGGACAGAGATAAGTATCACACCGTGTTCTTCGAAGAAAAACCAAAACAAACCCAAGAGATAGAATGGTCCCAAACATGAGTGTAGGCTGAGCTCTCCAACAGTGAGATATATGCTCTGCAGCATTTCAACTCCCATGGGTTGAGGGAAATAACAATCACATAGACTAGACTGTGGTACTGTTAAGACTTAGTTAAAAATCTATTTGCAGACCTTAGGTTTGAAGCTATACAACGTCAATTCAAATGACAATATACTCTTTAAAATAGCTTCTTTAACGAATTAGCATCAAGCAATGATGATGAAGAGGAGAAACGATGTAAAAACAGGATTTTGCTAAACCTGGCAACCCCAAATTCTAAGCTTGTTTTTAGCATAATAGCATCCGATTTTGTTTTTGTGTGACTTAACAAATGCTTATAACCGATGGGTAACTTGTGGTAGGCCTATGTGTTTTATAAACTGGGAGTTAGCACACATTCGCTTAAAGTGAAGCCTGAAGGTTGACTTGTAGTGTAGCTAGCTAAGCTTTTTGGAAGAATATTATGTGATGTTTTTGACACTTTTAATTTTGCCTTTATCAGTCACAAGTTTAAAATCACTTCAGAAGTGTAAGCTTACAAGAAGACGTGCAAAGAATGATAAGGCCTATACATGAGGGGATGAATAATGCTGAAACCAGCATGCATGCTCTTTGTATTGTAGGCTAACTAGCTTATACAGGCTAACTGGTAGCTTATTTGATTGCAGTGTTTGAATGAGGGATGTTATTACTTGGTGGTATGTAGTTAATCCTTCTGCAAACGAGTAACACACTGGTTGTCTGACTTTGTAGACTTGTAAAATAACACCAAGTTTAAATAAAATGTCCCTCTGTTAACCGGAGAAAATGTTAACCAGAATGAGTTTAGCGCTAATATGAATCACTTGTGAACAGACACTTAGCCGTTTATTAGTTAGCAAAGCAAAATCAGGCGAGTTTACCTTTGATACACTTGGACTGAAAACAAGTGACCTACTTTTAAATAAGTAGCAACCGGTAAAAGAAGGTTTAGTGGCAAGTGTTCAAGCTAGCGCTGCACAACAGAGGTCGTTCATTAAGGGGCAAACAGTACGACATGAAGGTAAGACATAAAGGTGATATTGGTGCTGTTCATCAGACTGGTGGCGTCTCTCTCCCATGCTTTCAATCTGCTGCTGGAGCCTGAGAACTGGGGCATGTTTGACTCCCCATAAAGCCTTTTCATTATGTTCTGGATCCTGGCAAAGCCCTGTGTGATCTGGCCTCTCTGTTAGCATCTATCCTTCACGTGACTGCACACACACACACACACACACACACACACACACACACACACACACACACACACACACACACACACTCCACGCATTCTCACATCCAAACACATGTCTACATGATGCCCACTCCCACACATACTATCGCTTTTTTCTTACACTAGCATTTCCCTGGGGGAGCCAAGGACGGTCGCAGACAAAGCTAATGTTAATCTCCGGCTGAAGGCCGACAGCGTTTCTCTGCGCGATGAAGGTCAGGATGATTCAAGGCGAGGTTCTCAAATGTCAACTGGAAACTTGGCTGAGCGACTGAGCACGCCTTATTAAACTCGTGTCTCGCATGCATCCAAGTTCGTCAATCTTTGCACCATCTCGGAGTAAATCTACAGCTACAGTAGTGATCTCAGCCACGGAAATCATCCCCAACACTCCAAAACCATGCACAAATCGACTTTGCAAAATGGGCCATTTCTTTTACACGACTCTCTATCATCACTGTAACTGACTCACTTAAAGCAGGATATGACTCACAACTTTTCATCGGTATCCATGCAAGTATATACAGACTAGAACCTGTTCTGTACACAACCTCACATAAAGCATAATCTTGACATTTTAAAAAGCTTAGCGGCCACTTAAAAGACAAAGAGAAAAAAACTGTAGAATGCAATTAGGTTCCACCAGAAAGAAAAAAAAAACCTGACGTGTCAATTGCACGTGCCCGCAGTGGAATCTGAACCACTAACCCTGACTGTGTCACTCTTCTGCTCTTTTCACTAAGCTACAAGTCACACCAGCTGCTTCATGGCATCTCATTTCAGTCTTGTGTTTTTCCTCTGTAATCTTATTCCACTTTCATTCTCAATCAGCATTTATTATTCAAACATGCCGATCTATTAAAGTTGAATGTATTTATTTGAAGTTCAATGTCCCACGGTGGACATGGAGTAAGAACATTTTGTTGCCTGAGCATAGAGACAAAACAGACAACTTCATATATAATGGACTAACTCAGAGTTCATCTTTTTAAGAAAGTATCATCAGAAGACACAGCTGTTTGTGTCCTGCCCCCCGGAGGCAGAGAGCAGAACTACAGCAGCATTTAAAACTGCTTCTTGTTCCTTTTTTTTGCTGGGCTTATATGATTCCAAACATATTTGCCATAAAACCTAAATATTACGTAAAAAGATATGTGTACAAAAGGTACAATTCAGTATGCACTGTGCAGCATGTGCAAACAAACCGTCTTCTTTCTGCCCTCAAGGCCATGTTCACTGCTTTGCTAATACAAATAAACTTTAGCTTTCCCCATTTGTATGCATCAAAACATCAACACAAAAACTTATTTGGAAGCTTACAACTGTTACAAAGGTGCATTAAGCAGCATACGCATTTCACTTGAATGTAAAGCATTGACTGTAGTGTATGGTTTAAAGTTAATCTACCTAACTTGTGTTGATTTAAAACTGAGGCTTATGCTACTAGTTTAGCTACTGTTAGCATCCTTGCTTTAGCTAAGATGATCCCAGGGAGGGCAAGTATGACAGAGAGAAAGAATAAAGTCACCCCTCTTGGGTTTTCAGCTCCATTTATTTGTTACTACAAATTTGGAGATGATTTATTCTGTACAAATGTTTTTTTTTTTTTCTGGCCTTGAATTATTTATTCAGTTAAAGGGGGTTATCTCAGTGATTTATATGATGTCATCCTGTCAGGGACTGCAGATAAAGCAGAAAGTATGGCTAGATCTGGCACATATCCATGTTTAATCGAAATGCACATATTGATTTATGCATTTGATACCTTTTTTAATAAAATAAACATAAATGGTATTCTCCCATCGTCATCGTCAGCGTCATTGGATTGTTTTAGATTTTTTTTTGATACAGATGCAGGTTTTTAAAACCATGTTCCATCATTAACACAATATTTTTGTAGGAACTGTGCAGCCCTGGAAAAGGGTTGTCTTTCTGTCTCCCTCCTCTATCAGCCCACCCCCTCTTTGTATCACTGACTCCGCCTCTTTATCTCCCCGAAGCTGACAGTCAGGGTGAGGGTTTTTCCACTGTCCACTGTGAAGCTGTAAACTTCCACTGCAGAGAGAAAGAGATAGATAGGGGGGGGGGGGGGGTCCTCTCTCACATTCCCTCAGACAAAAAACCCCTAGCAGTGTGTGGTGAGGGAGGGGTGTGTGTTAGTTAAAGGTTTATGATGGAGAATGGGAACACCCAGTGTAAGAATGAAGGCATCAGCTAAAATGTTACAAAATGATCGCGCTTGAAAATGTTCAAATGTGCAAATGAGGCCGTGGATAAATACTAAAGACATGTTTTAAAGTATATATTCTAAATCTATGTGCACAAAATGTGTGTGTGTGCGCGCGCGCGCTGTGTCAGGGCTGTGTGTTTCCCTCGTGTGCAGTCACTGCTGCATCACTCTTGGTCAGCAATTTCCAGCAACACATCTGCTGCCCCCTGGTGGTCTGCCACTGCACTCGCAGCCTCTTCAGACACTCACAAATTGGCAGCTGCTTCTCTTTAGATAAATTGTGTGTCCATGTGTGTGCATTTGTATGAAAGCTTATACGGGTCGTGAAACTTCCATCTGGACAGCAGCCATTTTTGTTAGCCTTGTGTCAAATGAGGGCAGAGCTAAAATTAGCACATGGACATGTATGGGGCTGAAGGCAGGAGAGTGAATGTGTGAATGAATGTGACGATAAGTTTTGGTTACTGGGTGTCACTCAGGGCCCGACCTTTGACTGCTTTTTGAGAGAGTAAGAGGCTTTGCTGTTAAGACCTCGGAGTGCGGGTGGTAATTGTGTGTGTGTGTCTTGCGTAATTAAGAGGTGTGGCAGTTTACAACCTGAGAGTGTGTGCGCATTGAGATTTTCAAGATGACGACACTAGCAGAGGGCCAAAGCGAACAGTGTGTTCCTTTTCACCAAAACTGCATCGAAAAAAACGACAGAAAAAAAAGTCTGACTCTGCAGCAAACACAAAACAAGGCCTGTGAGCAGAGTGACACAAAGTGGCAGTAATGCTCCGATGAATGAATGGTTTGACAAAGTAGCTGGTTGGCGTCAGCAGGAACATGTTTGTGTACTCGGACGTGCATCCAATTATGTCGTTGCTTTAGACGAGGTTCCATTCTTTGAGCGAAACGACGCCGACGCTCCACAAATAAAAGCTCGAGAAACGAGACCTTATGACGAGGAAACTTCAAATGACAGTGCCGAGTGTTTTTGTATGATTTACTTACAGGGAACAGCACGATGGGGACAGTCAGGGTGACGGCGGTGAGGACAGCCAAACGCACCAGCAGCAACATGGTGTCGAACTTGTACACCTTGGTGAAGGTGTGGAGCAGCTCTGCCTCTACGTTTTCTGTGTTGGACGGAATAAAGTATGAATGAACTGAAAACACGGTCAAAAAGCAGAATGTTGGAAAAGAAATCACATTTTCAAACATCAGAGTCAATGTCCAATTTCATGGCTTTACAAGGGTTACATTTTGGCATCATGTTTTTTGTTTTAAAGGCTTTATATGCGGGTTTAAAGTTGGTGTCTGGTGGGAGAGACGCACCACTAGAGATGAATTTGACTCCTGTTTATAGGTCGTCGCTCTTACCGTAAAAGGTGAGGTAGCCGAACAGCGCCGACAGCATGTACATGATGAGCATGGTCAAGATCGACAGGTTGGAGACGTTCTGCATCCTTTTCCTCGTGCGACTGTGGAGCAACACAAACAACACTTTTTGTTTTTAGAGGCTTTTAACAGATTAGGTGTCACACTTGAGACTTGAGGCATTAAAAGTCTTTAAAAAATAAACAGATTTAAGCTCCTTTCACCCCCCTCCCCCAACCACCCTGCAACCCTGCACTCTGGACATGTCTGGACATCGCCCCCCCTGAGGAGCTGGGCTGAAAGTGTACTTCTTTCACTGACTCAGCTCCATTAAGGAATCGACTTTAATTTCCCTGAAATGTTACAGACTCAGTCAAATTATATGAACAGGAAACTGTCTGTCGAGCCGTTTTCAAACAATATACTCATGATGATTTCTAGAAAATGTCAGGACAGCCTTCCCCGTGAATCTCTCTTGAGTTTCTTATTTTCAAGTCTCTTACAAAGGGATGGATGGGAGGGGAAGAGTCACGGGAGGCAAGACTGCAGAAATCCATGATGGCAGATGAAATTACAGAGACCAACATTATGATGTGTTGAGTGATGTTAATCTGCCCGCTCGCGGTTTCCCTGACTAATTCCTGCTGCGGTCAGACATCAGACATGGAAACTTGACTAGGTGGCTTGCAGGAAAAAGGCGTTTGGCATTTCACTTGTTCTGTTTGCACATGTAGTTCAAAATTTTCACGAGTTTTTGTGCATGTTTGAAAACACCAATAGTCTATATTTTCAATGAAGGGTTGCATGCTCAATTCCATCCTGTAGCCAGCAGATGATCCCTGGGAAAAGACACGGCTCTCCTTCTTATCAGAGCTTTCAGTTTAACCAACTATTTCTCTTCACCTTCACTCTTCATCTTTGCCCATATCAGACTATTAGCATGGCTTCTTAGTGAGAAAATCTGTTTTCATATGGGTGAACTCGCCCTCAGTGTTTATTTTCAGGAGGTGGTGGTGAAGCTTTGTTGTTGTTGATTTCAGAGTAACAAAGAGAAGCACTCACTCTTTCAGCTCGCTGTAGATGGGCAGGACCTCGGGGTGGCACACAAAAGCAAAGGCCAGGATTGGCACGGTGTATGCGGTCTGGGAAAGAAATGGAGAGTGAAATGTCAAGAAGACGTCAGCCACAAAAAACACGTTCAGACATTTTTCCAAGACAGCGCTGTTGACTTTGATTGCAAACCGCTGGTATGCTTTCTTCTCAACACGTTGATGAGTCAAAGCTTAAACGTTTTATTTGAGGTTAGCCGGGGTGGTGGAGTTCAAACTTTCTCTGCAGATTTCCCCCGGAGACACTTGCACCTGTTTGGTGCATTTCAAACTATTTGTTATCAAAACAACTTTTCTAAAGTCAAGATCGTTGAACTGCAGCCGGCATGTGAAATTTAGCACCATCATAAGATAAAAAAGCAGGCGGACAGTAGCGACTCTGTTGAACGTGAGTAACCCTATATGTCCCTCTGTGGATATTCTATACGTTTCTATGTGTTTTCTATGTGTCATCCTCCTATCTTGATTTAGGCCCTCACACAAATCCCTGAACACACAAAAAGACCAAAAACACACCCTGACACTCCACCCTGACCAAACATGTCTTGGCGAATGCCTGACATTCTTCTTCTGTTGGATTTGTAGGTTGTAAGATGCCACGTGTAGGAACAAGAGTCTTTTTTTTAATATTGTTCAAACCTAGCCCGTTCAAAAGGAGGAGACACAGCGGCGTTCCCTTCATTTCATTTAGTTAAGAGATGCTCTATCGTTGGGGCTTTGTTCGAGTTTTGCAGCCACAGATTCAAACAAGAAAAAATTCTGAGCACATGACACACCTTTGCAAACGCCACGAGGGCCGACCCCTTTTGACAGACGCTCGGTTCACATGTAAAAGTCAGCTCTGCAACTTGGACAAAAGCTTGGGAGAGAAAAGAATCTGGCGCTGCGCCGAATGACAGTTATGACAGTTAGCCTGAAGGGGTACCACGCCGTTTCCCTCGTTTACCTGTGAGTTGAAGACAAAGTATTTGGGCGTGCACTGCTCCTTGTCGTCGGTGTGCGGCTCGTAGTGGATGCTGCCGGAGTGAGGAGCGTCGTTGCCGCCGCCGACCGCCGGGGAAACGTCCGCCCGGGAGAAGTCCATCTGTGCCGAGCTGTTCGGCGGCGGGTACAAAGCCGACATGTCTGAGGCGTTCATGCTGAGGTTCGACGTGTGTTGGGTCAAGAACGGGAGAGGGCAGGGCAGCTGGGTCTTCTTGTATATCACCTGGAAGTGAAACAAAATCACATTACATTCTTTCAAGTGACGAACACACTGGTCTGCCAATACAGTCGGCCAATATGGTAGATTTAGTGTATTAAATGCAATAAATGCTGATATAAAACCAACTTTCTTTCCAATCCTTAAGATCAGAAAACAATGCTTGAGGGGATTTGAAACAATTTTGCCAACAAGTCTTTCCAGCTTTCTTAATTCCTAAAATACTCTTAACATTGTTTTATTCACATGTAGCAAACATTGTAGTGGAGCTCACGGCTGTCCGCACTAGGATTGGTTTAAAAAACTGTAATATTTCTTATACTTGTCTATGTCATGATTTCAGAGTTTAGGTTTTCTTGTTTTATTTAGTCTCATTCTTCCCTGCTGTTTGTTTCCATTCTGTGTTTTTCTTTATTTGAAGTTCTCCTAGTTTAGTCTTCAGTGTTTCCTGTTTTATTTTGTAATTTTGTATCCTTGTGTTTCTTTCTGTCGTAGTGTGTTATTTTCTGTTGATAACCCTTAGTTTAGTTTTCAGTGTGTGCTGATGTATTCTGTTTCATGTCCAGTTGAACCTCCTGCCCTTGTGTGTTTCTCCTCCACCTTGATTGCCCTCATCAGTTTTACCTGAGTCGTTTGTCACACCTGGGTTTGATTACCTCTAGTCTATTTAAGCTCTGTGTTCATTCCTTCCTGTGTAAGGTCATCATCTGTCAAACCTTCTCTGTGGGTCCTGGTCAGAGTCGCTGTGCTACAGTGTCTTTTTGTTTGGACTTTCTCGTTGGACCGTGTTACTTCTGGAATTTGGAACTTTGTTAAGAAAGGAAGTTTTTGTCTTTTTTGTTTCAATATTTTGTGATTCTGCATGGGGTCCTCTTCTTTGTTTTTCTACATGTGACAATACTGTTCATGAAGTTGTAAAAGAATATGCCATTGGGATACCTCTACATTGTCATATATGTGCAAAATCAGTGCACAATCATTGTGGGGAAATGGCTATTTTAATTCTAGTGCCAAAACTCCCTACAATGGCTGTAAAGCTGTTCATTGATAAATCTTATCCTTGATATTCAGCATTGGCGTTGATCTTAAATGTCCCTTATCGGTCTTGCCCTGATTTAAATAATTCTGTGTGGCGGAAGGGATGAAGTTGTGGCTGCTCTTCAGGTCTATCATTATGGGAAGAATTCTCCAACAGCTCAAATGCTTCCAACAGTTTTAATTTTGAGCAAATGTGTGGGCCTATGATGTCATTTCTCAAAGCGTGAACTCCACTCACATGCTTCTAAACCGGGCCCTCACAGGGTAACACACACTGCGGTGGCCTGAGCGTAGGTGGTGACCTCTCATGAAAATTGAGGAGAGGGTCAAAAGTCCTGCAGGTTAACCATCCATTACTGCTTTACTTGTAGAACTGAAATAACAGATTCTTTTCGGCCACTTGGAGGCAGCAGAAACACGTTGTAAACACAACATGGACCTGTTGCGGTTTTTAAGATGATTCACTAACACATCATTTGTGTACAAAAGAACTGTAAAAGCTTTTATTTTGATAGTTATTTGGACATGTTGCGAGTGTTAGTTCATTATTCACTTTCCATTTAGCTCTGTTAAGTGTACACCAATTATAAATATGCCGCCTATATAGACTTGAAAACAGAGGTGGACTCAGCCAATAGTTAGATTGAAGCATTAAGTTTAGCGTGTGTTCTAGAGGAAGTTGCGACCATATTTGGACGAGAGGGTGGATATGCAGAATGTTTCCTGATCTCCACCCACACTGATGATCAGATAACTGGACTTACCACACCCAGGAAGAAGACCATGCAGGACAGGGAGAAGCCGCTGGTGTAGCCCAGGTAGCCTAAAGAGAGAAAAGCCGATGATTCAGTGAAACCAGATACTGATGTCATGCTATGTCATAGATGCTATTCTTACTAGTCTGCAAATCTGCATTCTGTTCTGTCTCTCTTTTTTAAAATTTTTTATCTACGTTGGCATTACATCAGTTTCCTCTCTTTTCCTAGATGTGGATCACATCGTGTAATAGATCATGACCCAGATCCTTAAATAGACCAAATAAATCGAGCCGTAGCAGGAGTTCAGACAGGAGATAAAGCGTGTAAATGTCTGGAAGGAACACTGAACCAGTTTAACACGTGTCAAAAATAACATGCTCATTACATTTGCTGTTATTTATTAATCACACTCTGTTTCAGGAGCTTATTTGACTCTTTGTCAAATTGTCTTAATTACATAACCCGAGCGGGGGATCTGACTCACGGCCTCCTAAATGGAGTGCTGGAGCTGACTCAAAGCCTGATGGCAGTGTTGTGTTACAGTAACTGCTAATTGCCTGAGCTGACTAAGTACTTGCTTTATTTAAAATGTTGCTCTGCTGGAATTGATTAGAGACAGCTGCGAGAGCATGGGACTACTGAAACAGAAATATGCTTCAGACTGCAGGAATTCAAAGAGAAGGTGCCTCTAGTAGCGTTTTCTGAAGTATCATAAATACAGCTTGCAGTTTAAGAAGTTTTAAGACTAATTGCGTTTTGAGAAAAGTGAGTCCTTACCCAGATTTTTCAGGAGAGACAAAGGCAGGATGATTCCAACCGACACAAACACCACCAGGTAGTTTCCATCCATGTACCATTCACTGCAGAGAGGTTCAAACGTGGTCAGACACTGAACGCTGTGTGTACTCTGAACACGCACAAATGCAGCTTTAAAAGAACACACACTCACCCAGAGATTTCTTCTAAGCCCAAGAAGGCTCGGATCACCTCGGGGAGCTCGTACTTGACAATAAAGAGGTAGCTGGACATGGCTGCAGGACAGAGGACACCAATGAAGACAGAATATTTTACATGTATTCAACGTTTTCATATTGTTTTATCATAAACATGAAACAGTCATAAACCTCTGTTAATACAAACAAGGTTGAGATCAACAAACAGAAAGAAAAAGACACATCAAGTCACACCTACCTCCAATATTCTGCATGATAATGGATCCGAAAGCTGCTATTTTGCCGGGCCAACCGAATGCTCTCTCTCCCAGCTTTTCATAAATGAGGGATCCTGCAAGAATAAATCAATTGATCACTATTTAATGAATAAATATGAGTCAGCAACTTAATAGAAGACAATGTGAGTGAATTACAGTCCATAAAAAAGAGGGAAAAATACATTTACACCTTCAGACATATCTGTAAATATGCGAGTGCCCTACGAATGATTCACTCAGGAAGGATTTGGATCATTTGAAAACAACTTGTATCATTAAGTAAGAGACAAAGAATTAAATCACCTATGATCTGTATACCTGTATCAACACTACAATGACCACTAGGTGGGTGCATCAGTACAGGAATACATATTTTCTAATGTCTCACCACAAAGGATTTTGAGTTGTGGTGTCCAAGCCCTTCATGGGGGATACATGTGTCATGAGACCTCATGACAATATGCTTTAATTGTGGATGACTTTTAGAAGCTCAAAGACGTAGAACCAGTACATTTAACCATCTTTTACAAAAAATACATGTTAAGAAATAAGCTTGTATGGAACAGAAGAAGAACACAGGTTTGGAACTAATGTTTAAATATCTAATTCTGTTGGTCTTTTTGAGGTGTTTTTTTTTTTTTTTTTTTTAAGAGCCCGATCAATTAATCGGCCAGCCAATTATCGGCCAATATTAGCAAATCTAGTGACTACTGGTATTGGCTAATTTTATTTGTGCCAATATAACTTGATTTACCTGTCAAATAGCATTTCGTTTGAGTTTCATTGTACTACACTATCAGTTCTCTGTCACCAGTAGAGGGCGCTATGTGGATTACAACAGGCATGATCACTCTCCATAGGGTCGAGCTATAATGCACGTACATGTGCAGTTACTTTTCAGTTGAGTGACCATAATATCTTTTGTGCAAGTGTTTGATAACTTCAATTGAGGGATCAACACATTAGTTGTGAATACCTGTATTTATCTATCTCTACACACTGAAGATTGAAAGAATAATCAGCATCCGATTTTTTTCTTATATCGGTATCGGCCCCAAAAGATCCCAATATCAGTCAGGCCCTAGTATTTGTGAAATTGAAATAAACTTAAAAACCAACCTCCTTCTTTGGCGGTGACAAGGAGCAGATGTACCGAATATAAGGACAGGATGGACACACCGATGAGGAGGATTCTGCAGAGAGAGGGAAAAGAACAGAAAGATGAGAGATGTAAAATCGGGAAATTTGTCTGAATTAAGGGACAAGACGTTTGTCATCCACATATCTGTCATGTGGCTGCTTTGAATTATCTCTCTTTCTAAAATAGCCTCGGACACACGGCAGCTGTCGGGCAAGTATGTCCGTTTTGTTGTTGTGTATTTGTAGGGGATGTTGTCTAGGGGAACGCATGGTTCTAACATGACCTGTGCCCAGTAACATCAATGCTACGTCCATGCATCCATGTGTCGCATTCTTTAGATAGCATCAAGTATATCAACAGTGTGACACTGGAAGGACGGGACCGAGTGTGACTCTTACAGCGGGCTAACTTAATTTCAAGCAACTAAGATAACGAGATAACTGTTCCATTTCTATTTTTAATTTCCCAGAATTTATTGCAAAATGGTTCCTCTACGTTGACACTAAGCCTCAAAGAAGTGACACCCTCTACTTTTCTGCCAAGCAGCATAGACAGTGGAAAGCAGGTAGTTCAAAGAAGTGGGATTGAGGGGAGTAGGGCTACTGCTGGGATGTTGGATGTTGCCAATGAATGCTGATAACACGTATGTGTACTGCAAGGACGGAGCAGGTTGATGGAGGCCAGAGGGACAGGGGCACAGGGTGCTTCACACATTCTCATGTGTCAGAGGTGGTAATGTGACTAGATTAACTCTTGCTCACATATTCAGGGACCACTCTTCATTCAACACCATGACATGGGGACAACATTTGAATTTGTCAAATATTCTGCCTCATAAACAAGTACCTGCAAAGTCACAGACATTTTCACAACATTTAGCTGTTACCCTTCCTGTTTTGTGCTAATAATACATAGCAACACATTACATTTAGCTGGTGAACATTACTTGCCCCTTTAACCCTCAAATAATAAACATGTAAACAATGTTTATGTGGAAATGTCATGCTAACATTAGCTTTTAGCCCAAAGCACAGCTGTGTTTGAATTCGCATTGTTTTTATCCAAGTTTAAGGATCAACATCTTTGATTAGCATATCAGCATCCATGTTTGAGTGTGATGCTAACATGCTAATACTAGCTTTAAGCTCAAAGTACAGCTGTGTCAAGAGTCTGCAAAATGTTACAACGCCAAGTAGGACATGTTTTGGGCAGCGTTAAGGCCTTTATCGCATCCTGAAGCCAGAGATGGAAATAAACGACAACGTGGCGCCTTTGAATGGCTAATTTCACTTTTTGAAACTCCTAGGCGGTTCAGTTGACGAGTCAAAATTAATATTAGTTTCCTTCTGAAACCAAACATTTCACTTCACTAATTTTCAGTTTGTGTTCCTTTTTCTACTATCTACTTTCTATTTTCTTTAAAAAAGCTTTCATCCAAACAGGAAATAAAGCAAACTAGGCTTATGGCAGTACACAATAAAGCATAACAATGATCTTTTGAATTTAAAAATAATGGCATTTAAACATAAGATTAAAAATGTGATTAATTGTGGTTAACTCTTGAAATTCAGCAATTAATCACAATTGATTTACACATGACACTGACTGTGCAGGTTTGCTTTTGGCAAGGAGAGACGTGTTCACTCATTACTCTTTTCACTCACTCACTTTTTTCTCACAGGATCCACCCAGTATGATGCAACTTCACTCAACAGTTTCTTACAGTTGTTTGCAGAATGCATTGTACTTGCCTAGTATATGTGCAGTGTTTATTTACATCCCTGTCTGCTAAAAGAAAAGAATAAATCAAACGTGACAAGACTTTTTTTTGTGGATTATTATGTAACTGTACTCCAAAAACTCGAATCTTATTTGTGTAACTTCCAGAGAGAAAATATCTCATATCTAGATAGTAGATCTAATTCTAAGACACCTTTACAAGTGCATATTGAGTGCTGCATTTGCAGATATTTAGAAAAATTAAAAGCAATTTAGAAAATGTATTCTTTGCTTTTGACATAATGTGATTATCCGGACTTGAGACATTTGCTAAGGATTTAGTTTTTGCAGTGTGAAACTTAATTAGAAGAAACAAAACAAACATTAAAAACTTTCAGAGAAATCACTCATCAGTGTAAAGTTTCAAAGAAATGTTAAACGAGCTCAGCTGCAACACTGCTCTGGTCTATTCTCTGCAATTCTGTGGAATTTTTGTCGCAGCGCCCTGCCTGTCCTGTACTGTCACGCCTTTCCTTACACAGCCCCTGACATGCACACACGTGGTTTACGATGGTTTCCTTGTTCTCTTAGCAGTACTTACGTAAAGAGAACAATGCCGGTGTTAGCCATGGCGTAGGACAGGCCCAGGATGCCGCTGCCCATGATGGCGTTACTCAAGTTGAAAACGGACATCCCGAAGGAGGTGTGACCGGGATGCTGCACGGAGAGAAACGAAGGAAGAAAGGTAAAGAGAAGAACAAAGTAAGACTCGGACATTAAAGTTTGACACAAAGTAATTAAGATATTTTTAGAACAGGGTGCAGAAACTGTCAGGTTAAACACACTCTCACTCTAAAGAAATTCTTAATGTCAAAATAGTTAATTAAAAAAAACAAGAGGTGCGTTGAAACTCTTATATTTTTTGATTTATGCAACTAACGCTGAGAAAATAAACTTTGTTTCAGTGTTTTCCTGCAGAGCTAGAAATCATTTCATCCTCAAACTTGTGCAGTGTGTTTGTTGCAGATTGGATTGCAATAACCATGCCATTGCATTATATTGTGCAGCTCTACCTCACACGACATAAAGAAATAAGACTGTTCTTATTCTTTTCTATACACATGCTTTTAAACAATCTAACACGCCTCACATGCAAAGACATTAATACATTAGTGCTGTGATTTTTAAATCCTCTTACATATTCTTCATGGTATTCCTCGTATTTCTTCTTCTTCATCATCCCGTTTGCCAGAAACTTCTGACTTTCCCCGTCCTCGTTGTCATCCAAAAACTGACTGCAGGGGCAAAAAAGACAGACAATAACCATCAGTAAAAATGAGAAGGTCCAAAAAAACAAACAAAACACCACAAGCAATAATGGGCTTTAAGACGAAAACTGAAAATAGGGGAAATCAATATAAATGAATCCTCTTCTTGGAATCTAAAAGCTACAACTATCAATATCAGCCTCACATCTCTCTCTCTCTCTCTCTCTCTCTCTCTATATATATATATATATATGTACGTATATGACGTTTGTATTTATATCAAATATGTTTTTCCCTCTACATTAAATTAGCAGGCTGTGAGATGGCGTTGCTATCGTTAAGTTAGCAGCAGACACGGTGAGAGTGAACGGAGTATCTGGTAGTAGCAGCTCACTAAGGGAAGAAACTTGACTTCATGTTTGCCTACCTGTCAATGGTGGCCTTCTCCGAGTCAATGGGCTCTGTGTAGCGGTCGTCAAGGCTGTCCATGCTGTCATCGTCAGCCTCTGTGGGGACTTTCCTCAGCTCCATACGATCCACGACTCCCGGCATGGTGGCGCTCAGCAGTATGAAAGGCAGAGATGTTTTTTTCGGGATGTCAGCTCAATAGGGGATGATGCTTCTTCCTCAACTTCTCCAAAGACTTTAGTTGCCTACGAAAACGCCTAAAAACAAAGGAGAAACATTAGAGGACAGTATCAATGGGAAAGATGGATGTGAAGTCGTCTTTTTTTATCCTATAACAACAGTGCTCATTCTTCTAAGTATATTTCACCGTATTTCAAGTTCACCCCTGGAATGCAAATGTTCCAGGCAGGAACATGTATTGTCTGGCCTTATCGGCCTCAAAGGTGCCTATTGGCCTTCATGAAGAACACTTCAGAGAGGCATGGGGCCCTCTAGCCTGCAAAGCAGTCCATCCCATTTCCTGGAACTGAGAGACTATTTGTCTTGTTGCCTTGAAGAGGAAAGCTGGGATATGATGACACACTGGCGCCATCCTTGGCTTTATTGCCGGTTGCATTCAACACCAGCTTGATTTATGGTATGAACAACTTTCTTTTAAATTAGACGACTGATCCTCAAACAAAAAATATACAATAAAAATATCAATTTACGCCTCATTAGGGACAACACCACTTAGCCAATGCTGGCGTACATAGAGGTTGCAATTGAAGTTAGGTCAACAAACCCTGAAACCAGGTCAAGGATGCAACGAGTTCATGAGGCCTCACAACCACCACCATCAACAGACCGCCTTGTTCCTGTGCAAGTTGTTTACTCAGCCTAACCCATTGACATTAAAGGCGCACACACCTACTTTTGACATCAATGGCATTCATCATTAAGTTATGTAAGGGGCGAAAAAAGGCTGAGGACACAGCATGTAAATGCTACTTATAACAACCCTTTATTGACTCTGCTTTTTGTCAGTGTGGAAGAAGGGTGTAAATCATGAGTATGATTGAGCAACAGCGCTGTAACGAAGCACCACCGTCACTACGTCTTTGTACATTCATATTGATTCGCACCGGCGTAATATTGGTTTCCAGGTCTGTGAATTCATATTGTGTAATGGCGTTCTTGAAGCACCACGCGTAGAGAAACAACAAGAGCTACATGTACATACTTATCAGTGCGCACACAGCACTGTTCTCCCCCACTTGCTGTGCTGATCCCGTCCTCACCCCTTCTGTTGCTACCTCTGATGGTAGTTCAGAGATGGGATCACTTTGCCCCCCCTCCCCCCTCCATTATGCCTCCCTGACATTTATGGTGAAGGCAGGAAATCACAGGGGCGTAAATAAGACGCCTTGAGGTGGCAGTCTGAATAGGACTACTGACAAACATTGCAAGTAAACACACCAACAACAAGTTGGAAAACCCCATTAGAGAATAATGGTGGTCTTGTTGTGTATTGGGGCGCAGGGTGACAATAAAGAGTGGAGACTTCACAGAATTAAGTCTAGGAAGAGCAAACTTGATAAAAAGACAAGAACGAATTAGTAAGCTAGCTAGTTGAAACAGAGGCTCTAAGATTTGTATTATCGCTTATTGTGGTTAAATGGTAAAACATGTTAGTAAGTTAATTCATTTAATGTTGATGATGCTTCAGTGCTGAAGATTGTGATTGAGTAAGGCTGAGCGATGAGATGCTGTCGTTCTGTTTATCAGAAAGGTTAGCAAAGGAGCACGTAGCCTACGAAACATGATTGAAGCTGTGTCAAGCATTTTGAGTAATACAGTATTGTATAAAGTTACATATAATGCTGAAAATGTTAATTTGATAGTCAGTCTATGAGTGTCACCATGAATCGTCCTATTAGCTTTACCCACTTTCAATTCAATTACTTAGACGTATAAGAGAATATTAATAACAAGCTAATAGCTAGAGCTAGCTACTGCAAAGTAGTTCACCCAAGCATTAAGCCTGAAAACAGAGGAAGCTAGCTAACCTGTGGGTCTGCCTAACGTTTAGATAAGCTAACAAATGTATTGAAGTATATTGGCTTGTCTCGCCCCACCTGTTTCCAGTCTTGAAACTTAGTGTGCCCCTAATAATCCAACTGTTAGCGGGAACTGGTAAACTATTTCTCAAGTGGTCATTTTGTTCTGTTTTAAAACAATGCAGTGAAGTTGTAATTTGTTTATGTCCCCAGAAAAGCAGGAAAATCTCCCTGCTGAATCTGTTCTATGGAAAACCAAAACACGACTCTGCAGAAATGAATCATCCTCTGAGTAATGTTGTTTGTACTCACATCTTACATTTATGGAGCACCGTTACCGTTCATTTGGAGTTGTGTTTACCTTTTTTTTAAAGCTCTTTTAAGCCCTTTTTTCAGTCAACCCACACCAACTTGAAGCTCTACTATGTTAACTATGCAGCTGCTTACTGTCCGTCTCTCCCAAAGTGCTGAGGAACTAGTGTATGAAATTGAGTTTTTAGAGTAAAACAGACCTCTTCTTCAGTTTAAAGATGTGAATTAAACAATAAGCAACACTGAGTTGCTTGAAAACCAAAACAGAAAGATGTATCCAGCTGGGATGTATAACCGCATTTGAACAAAATGTTGTAATCTGTACACATAATAGTTTTTAATGTTAAATCATGAATCGCAAAGAAACACCTGAATAAATGCAGAGGTGTAAAATGATCTAAATTATCAGACGAATGCAGTTATTTAAATTCTAAAAAGACGTTTTTCAGACAATCAGTAGAGAAATCAGTGGATGCTTTTTGAGCAACAGCATCTTTGCCTGACGACGTCTGCAGTGTTTACAGTGAAAACACCACATCCAGGTACAGGAAACTTTCCATTTACAACAATGTTCTTAACTACAAACCCTTGTCAGGTGTCAAACTTTCCACTTTGGTAAAAAGGACAAAACTTCCCTTTTAATACTTTTTAACAATGCTCTCCCACTCGCAAAAAACTACTGAAAAAATGCTGAAGTTTTTGGCATGATTGCTGAATTTTTCACTCAAACTTTATCCAGAGTTTGAGTGAAAAAAATACCCCCCCCCCCCCCCGGTATTTTCCCCACACAAAGTCTGAATGAGCTGACGTGAGAGCGCAGCAGGATTATATCAGGAGAATTCACCTTGAGCGAGTGGGAGTGCGAGATGACCTTTTCTTCCCCCGCCATCGTTAAACGACTATCGTCTGTCTGAACGCCACCAGTATGATATCCGTACATGTGAATCACCAGTATGTTCATCTCCACCTTTTATTTTGAATGATTCTGTTGAACTACAAACAGCATTGACATAAAGGCAAATATTTTCTTTATAGCGCTGTATTGTCCACCACTTCCACATCATTCTTCTCACGTCATGTCTTGAACTCAAAGACCCCCTTTCCTATTCTACTGCGATGGTCTCCCGCAGTGAGGTGTATGAGTGAAAAATCAGATCAGAAGGACTTCAGAGGCGGTTGTCTATGCTGCGATTGTCTAGACATTTTCAGGAGCGCAGTGCAAAACGCTTATGTTATTGATAGATTAAGCATTACCGTTAAAACCACATCACACACACACCAATACACCCGAAATCTCCGTGTGTCACCGCCTGCTCTGTGGCGAGAGTGAAACCAAGAACAGTTTTTTCACTTTTCATTGCCAAGAGGATTAACCTGTCTGACTTTGTTAACTTCACAAGCTCCCTGGTTTAATGCCGCCGTTGTTACAGCCATAACATAGAAGCACACACGCATGGCAGCGTGCCACACAGCACATTCACAAGCTTTGATGTGAAACTGACTGCTGCTCACTCTTGAAATAACCAAGTGTAGAAAAAGGCATCTCGAGTGCCTACTTATCGCTGGAACATTCCCTGCTTCTTACATGTATGAAGAAACACATTTGCAATTGACAATACGGCTGTAGAGGAAGCACCGAGGGCATTAGCATCCCAAATGAAACCAATGCTAACGAATACTAAAATGCTACAGTAGCGGCCACAAACAAACGCCTCGAATAATATCACTGAAACCAGAGATAAATGTGAATACCACACTCAGACGAGTTCGTCCATGACCACTTGTGCAAGTGGCCGGACCATTTCGCTGCCATTGTGACCTCAAAGTGTCCTGGGATGTCTTCACACCTTGAGTTTAAAGTCGTCCATTTCAATGTTAATGTTAGTGAGACCACTCACTGGCAAACCGACACAGAACCAGACTTTTCACAGTCTTTTTCACAATAACACAAGGCTTTTTCGACTCCTACATTTTAACCAAGCAACTTGATTTCATTTGTAACTCTGTTCAATAAGTACACATACACTTGGGTGATGCTGAAGAATTGTATTTTTGTTACGCATTGAGAACAGCTAGGCTTCTGTTGTTTTAGCTTAATGAGCAAATAAGAAAATATATTAAATAAACTTACATACAACTGAAAACCATTTTTTTAAATCACATAATCTTTGATTTTTTTTGCTTACACACCATTATTAACAGCGAGCATCAGGAATCTATCGTTCTCCCCTCATTATTTCATGCCTCAGAGACTCCTGAGTCATGTTTTAGTTTATCAACTACGTCGAGCAACTGAGAGAGATGACAAGAAATATGTTGCTGTGTTTCTTTTTAACTGGCCTCTGTGTTACTCCATATGAAACTGAAATGATAAACAAAGGCTTCTTCAGAGTCTCTTGTCTGTCATTGGCGACAGACAATACAAATATCTATTTAGCTTCTCGCTGTGTTTAGCATATGTAGATCATAAAGAAGCATCACAAGGCGTTTTATGACCACATGAATGTTTATTTTAAAGTTTTACCACTGCATGCAATGCTACTCTTGAAATTAAAAAAAATAATATGCAAATGAAATCAGCCCAAAGTTTCAGTGATAGGACTTATCTGTTTGCAGATAATTCTATGACAATACGCAAAAACGACATATGTTTCTTAGGAAAAGAAAATGTTAAGAACCAGAATTTTGGATGAATTAGAAAAAGTGAGCATCTGAGCACGTGTTTTTATTTTTAGCTTGATTCGAGATGATCATGTATTTTCTGTGTTTAAAGATTAAGCATTGGTTGTTAAAAAGAAGTAACTTGCATTACATCAGGCACTAGAAAAAAATAAAAAGTGACTTGCAAACACCTCTGCATGGTTGGAAAAAAAAAAGACCATTTAAAAACTTTCCAACAGATCTTC